GAGTTTAGACTATATCTCATATACCTCTAACTATCAGGATCCTTACCATAAGCCACCCCCCCCCCAAGAAAAGACCTCTGGGTTTGTGGCTTAGGCTGGGCTGGGTTTAGGGTTTAGGGTTTAGGGTTTTGGGTTTTGGGTTTAGGGTTTAGGGTTTTGGGTTTAGGTCACTTTTGGAGAGCCTTTGTAATCAGGACATGAATCTCGTTTGGGCTACTTGAGGGGGGCCCTTGTAGAAATACCCACATCCTGAGCCGCAAGCCCTCATAGCTCAGCACCCGGCGCCACAGCCAGGAAGATAGACCAACTTGAGGTCGATCTCTAGATCCTCACCCTGATTTCTTAGGGTCTAAATGAGGGCTTCCCAAAATTAGGGGTACCATTTTGGGGGTCCCCATAATAAGGGTTATAGTATTTAGGGGTCTATATTGGGGTACCCTAATTTTGGGAAACTACCAGATTGGTGGGGGCTTTAAGGTTTTGTGTTAGGGCTTTAGGGTTTCGGGTGAGAATGTCGGCACGGCAACAGCAGAAAATCCCCACTGGGAGGTGCTCAAAATCAGGAAACTCGTTTGCGAGGGCTGGTTCCAACCATACGGTTCCTTCGGAAGTATAGAAAGAGAACCCGATGTTGAGAACTGCCCTGTACACCCAGCCAGGCCTTTGACTTCTTCTGCTTCTTCTTTTGTTTCTTCCGGCTGCGGGAAGTCTTCTCATGCTGGAAGACCTTCCAAACGCAAAATGATGATTTCTCACAACTCACGACCCTGGCACATCAAAAAGAGCTTCTTGGCTTTAGATGCCAAACATGGACTCACTGTTTGGATTGCTTGGGGAAGCAAATGGAAACCACCATAGCGAGTCTCTTGCAACATCTTGGCAGGTCTCCGCACCCACTAAACCCTAAACCGCTGAAACCACCCAAAATCATAAGATCTTCAAGGAGGCCAGCATTCTTAGGAGAAAGCACGGTGCCTCAACACCATGGAGCGCATCCAGCAATTCCACTCGCAGAGGAGCCCAGGCCTGCAGGGAAGTATCGAGATTACATACAGGAGTTACAGGGCCAGATGATCTCTCGTCCCCTCGAGTAGATAGAATAGGGGTTATATGGGGATCTTATCATAAAGTTCCCAAAGCCATATTCTATCTACTTGACGGGGACTATAGAGGTGGGGTCACTTGGGCCTCCAACAATCCATGGCTGGAGTAGATCATGCAGAGAGATTGCTTGCTGAGGCGCGCACTGCAACGAGCGCTCGCAAGCAATTGACTACGTCCCCTCGATCCCACTGTACCTTCCGGCTTTTGCCCTAGCTGAAAGCTCTTTCCAATGCAGGCACGTCAGACTGGCCCGGCAACTGAACCAAACTACTGGCTGAACAGGGCGAACTGGCACAGCCGGGATAGGACGTCGTTCACGAAGAGCCGAAGCCACCTTCAAACATGTTCTTTGTTGGTCAACCCAACGCTCAGTTGACTTTGGCCACCTGGCCCAAGTAGCCACCTGTGTTCTGCATGGCTTCCAAGCTCTTGCCTGGCCAGGGCTCCCAGGCTGAAAGAAGCACCCACACAATCCCTTAGTCCATGAAAGTCCATGATATGTGAAGTTAAGGATAGCGCAGAATAAACCCTAAACCCTAAACCCTAAACCCTAAAAGGATAATTAACTAGTGCACAAGAATAGAGACCTAACCCAAGAAGTCAGAGCTCAGCACCTCCTTGGTCGGGTTTATCCAGGTTCTCATCCTGGCTCGGCGTCTCCAATGGAATGGGTTATATTGGGGTTGTTGTATTGGGGTTATATTGGGGCTATACTGGGGTGATATTGGGGTTATATTGGGAGAGTGGAAAGGAAAATGGAAACTACTATATATATATATATTCATTTATATACACCACTTTCCACTTCAGATCTCTCTTGTGCGCGCCTGTTCTTCCGCGCAGTGCACGGTGACCCCGGCCAGGTCTCGGGCGTTGAGCCCAGGCGCCATAGCCCGTGCCACAGCGCGGAAGACGTCCTCGCGGTCCTTGTGGAGCTCGCCATGCAAGGCCTCAGCCTTCTTCAGCTCTGCCGCCCGGCGTGGCACCCCAGCCTAAGAAGTGGTTTGGCTTGTGTTTTGTGAGGCTGGGCTGCCATATTTGCTCCCACAGTTCGGCCTCGGGTCTCGCAAGGAAACGCAGCTCATCTGCCAGCACCTGGGCACCAACTGTAAGCACTTTTAAAGCATGTGGCTTTGGAAAGCCGGTGAAAGTTCCATGAAATTGTTTGATCCAATTCGCAGTGGTCGCTTTTGATGCTGTTTGGCCCACTTGCCTCGTTAACAGTGGCAGCAGCTTTGTCTGCACTCAAGGTCTAATGTTCGACGCCCATGCTCGACATATTGCGCTTCATTCAGGCTGGATGGCGTGGTCGCGCACTTGCCTCCAAACCTTGGCTTTTTGGGGCTTTCAGTTGCCAGCAGCACCGCACACTTTCACCAGCCTTGTGGAAAGCTTCGAAGTAGCCGATCTCTTGGTACGGCAGACCCAGCCTAGGAGAACCAGCATGTGTCTTTGGTCTTTGCGCAATGCGATTGGTAAAGACAAAAGCTGAGCAATTTTGGGTTTTGCGGCCAAAAGGCTCCGCACAAGCCACCTTGACAATCCTGGATGCCTCCCGCAGCTCAACAAAGCTCATCGCCGGCCACAAGTGGTGCTCGACCTACGAGCTCCAACAAAGGCATCGGGAAAGCAGAACGGGTCACTACCGGCCATGCCTGCAAGCTGTCTCCATGAAACCTGCACCGGATTCACAGGAGCAAGGAGGCAAAAGGCATCTTCGGGGAGATTTGATCTGAGTCGGATGCATCAGGAAATCCAGGAGACTCGCGAAGCTGCTTGTGAAGCGAAGGTTTGCAGTTGTTGCGAGCTGACGCACCACAAACTCCTCGCACCGCAAACTCAATACACGTTCAAGAGTGGCATCGAAGCGGATACCACATAGTAAGCAGGTTCCTCATCGTCGCCCGGAGTATCAGGCCTTAGCAGCTTGCATCCCTCTCAATCCGCTGCATCTGTCAAGGCTCTGAGCCACCTGCATCAGAAAGTGCTGAACCTAAACGTGCATATACGTGCATGATCCATGCTGTGACACGCAGGGCAACATGAAAATGCACGCGTCAGTGATGTCTACTTAGCCTTCTCGGCAGCGCCTCGGCAAATGGGAGCAGCACCAGTTTCGTGACAGCTCTGCTGAGCAGCAACGCTGCCAGGGCGTGTCCAAAAGGCCTCGGTAGACTACGCAGCCGGTGCTCATGAAGCCAACAGGAAATATCAGCTAATGGCTGCAATGGGCGGGGCATGGCTAGGCCAAATGCTGGAAGAAGAATGCGGCACCCTGGTAGCCCGGGCTTATCAAAGCCTGCTCTTGTCGTGGCTTGACTTTCCGTTGCCTAGATTCTGAAGTCACCAGCCTCCACCCACCAGGACATTAAATCCTTGCAACGGTCCAAGAACTTCTCGGCACCTGCGGGCGCCTCCAGGACCTGACGAAAGAAAACTAATGATGTCAGCGCACCCAACTAGAGAGCCGCTTGAATCCGGAGTGCGCTTGCCTGCGAAGCCCCGTTCATGCAGGTAGATAGCATGGTGAAGATCTCCTTGGAAAGAAACAGCAGCGCAGCACGATGGTATTCACGAAGCGTGTTTATTAAGAGTTTAGCATTTGTCGTTTAGAGTTTGTTCAGGGATTGGGGTTAGGGTTATATAAGGTTTCATGCAGAGACTGAGCAGCAAGCGCATGCTACAGTGCTTCCGAGATGCTGAGACTGGCTCCAAGATACACTTGACCGGCAGCCAGTACAGAGTCTGATCAGGGCCAATGTTAAGCAAATCTGCCACTGCACCCTGGCCATAGCCCTGTGAAACATACAGCAGGACAGACAATCGCTGGCAAAGACAGTCCTGCCAGGCGTTGTACGGCTGCCACGGATTGCATGGATGTCGACGAATCCAGTTGCGGCCGACAGCAAAAAAGGTCCAGTCAGGGTCACGTCGGAAATCGTTCGTGTGCAGATGATGCTCCAAGTGTTGCGAGATCGATTGCGAGCCTCCTCTCCAGTGTTCAGAGCAACAGAATTCAATACAAGAAGCGCGACATGGCCGGTCCTTGATAATGGTCCAGCATGTGGTGACAGAGCACCCCGTAGATGCGGAGCAGTTGATGCTGCAGCCAAGGTGAATATCTGAAATCTCCATGGGCAACCTGAGTTCTTATGTTGAGAGTATGCAGCCTTGAACTTGAGTCCAGCTATGGGGGAATTCCTCAGAATCAGGGTTCCCCTGCATAGGCAATAACCCCAGAATCAAGTACTTGGTGATCAGTTTAGGGGAGTTCAGGACGATAGGGCTCTATGACTTTCAGAAGTCTTACGTGGGAGGTTCTAAGCATTACCTTTCTATACCTTTACAGGGGCTTTAGTAATTCCCTCCCCCCTCGTATCTTACCAAGGGAGCCCTAAGGGTCACCTGAGAAACCCTCAGCAGTTCCTGAGTTCACGACGCTGTGCAAAGCGGCGTCCAGGTGCCGCCACCAGAACCAGCCGCTAAGCAAGTTCAGCCAGAAGTAGCCTGCGCTTACCGTTCCAAGGTGTCTTGCTGTGCCAGGCAGGAGATGGCTACAGGCAACTTCTGCCAGGCAGCCCTGCACATACACCAGGAAGGCCCAGAAGAAGAACAGCAGCAGCATCGACGCTGCCACAGCCTGCATCAGAGAAGGACACCACAGCCAACGGCAAGTGTTTGGAAACGTGAGCTGCCAGCTTTTATGTCTGCAACCACTGACTGTCCCCCATGATCTTAACATATCTGTCTTACATACGGCTACCTACCCCAAAACCCAACTCTAAATCTGTAGGCCAGCACATTACATGATTTGCCCAAGCCTTAACTTCCCCAAAGCCCCACACCCTGAACTTTTAGCACCGAAGCTGAAACACCTTTGACACCAAGGCCTGAACCCCGAACCCTAAACTGAAACCTAAACCCTCCAGCCTGGCCACTTTAGCCGAAACCCTAATATTGTCCAAATATAACCCTAATATCATCCTAATATAACCCTACTATAACCCTAATATCATCCTACTATTATCCAACCTTCAACTTTGACACCAAACCCTGAACCCCAAGACCCTATCGCCTCCGCTAGCGGCGTCTGCGGCTTTCTAAGATGCTGGGAAACTCGCCTGTTGAGCTCAGCTCGAAGACCGTGCACCTGCCAGTTGTGGGGTGAGGAGTACTTGGAGGGTCATGGGGGCTTAGTAAGTAGGTTAATAACCCCTAGAAGCCATTTAACAACCCCAATTATCCCCATTATTAACCCACTTACTAAGTCCCCATGACCCCCCAAGTAGGGGTTGAGGCTCCAGGGCTTAAGATTTAGGGTGAGGATATTGGAGTTTTATGTCATTGGGCTTGGCAAGAAGTGGCCATCCCTAGCCATAAAAGCAAGGCAGTCGGGCTACTTTGGGCTTATCTGACAGGTGGATCTGATTTATAAGCGCCAGGTGAGGGATCTCAATAGTAGTCTTTTATATAAACCCCAATATTCATCCCGGAGCCCTGAAGCTGAAATTCCATGTGAGGTATAGTCTAAACTCCTAGTATCCCCTTAATGTCGCTTACCATACTCCCCCATATACCTTCCCAAATAACACCCTTTAAGGAGTTTAGACCATGGCTCGAATCAAGGTTGCAGACTTCTGGCCTTGAGTGATTTGCGTGGCTTCTGTGCCGCGAAACGTCCCACGGACCACTTCCTGATTGCACGCGCTTAGGGTTTAGCACTGTCTAGTGCTTGGGGCTTTAATAGACCTAAGTCAGACCATAGGCCACTGGCTCCAGTTTAAGCTTATAACTTATATGGCCTAATACTATGGACAACCTCAGCCAGCGTATTTGCATTACAGGCTATAAGACCCTGTACTACATGGACTAGATAGAAAGTCCAATTCAATACTAGGCTGTAGGATCCCGCTCGAACTTGTGTAAGCAACACATGAACCAGATAGGCACGCCATGGGGAAGATGGGAAGCATAGGGATTCTCAAGAGAATAAGGGGGTGGGAACGTCTTGAAAAAGTCTGCACTTCTGGGCATTTCTGAACACCAGCTCAGCTTCTCAAGAGCGGCTTCAGCAGCCTGCGAAGCATGGTGGGCGCGAAAGAGGTCAGTGGCTTCCCGGCCGACCGCCGACAAAATCAGTCGCCCACCCGGATGTGATGGGATAAATCCGTCAATGGCCTGCACTGAGAGTCACTGTTGATGGATGAGAGCTTGCACCGCATTGGGTCTTTAAACTACTATAGTTCCCAGGGCTTTTCTATGGTGCCAAAGTCTGTGCTGGATTCTTCAATAAACTGTCTCACACTTGCTGGGTATGCTGAATGCAGCTGAAAGGCAAGCACTTGTCCATCGATGATTGTCCAGTCGAAGTCAGCCTCTGCCAGATCGTCGATCGTCCACACGGGAGACAGCGAGGCCTTTGGCGGCCTGAAAGATGCAGAGATGCCATTCTGAACCCGTATATGACCCCTGTAAAACCCTATAAAGTCCCTATATGAACCCTTTATAACCCCTATATAACCCCAATATAGCCAAAAATGAAAAGTACACCCTTCACCTGGAACCTGAAACCTAGACCAAAAAAAATCGAACCCCAAACCTGAAACCGTAAACCTCAAACTCCAAGCCCGAAACCTTATCCTGATAAGCGCTTTGCCTCGATGGGCTGCTTTGAGGAGCAGTCAGAAGCCCCGGCATGGCCAACTGTGCGCAGGAGTCATCTGCAGTGCCAGTCCTAACCCCCCGTGGCAGGGGTTTAGTTACGGTGCTCCCAGGGTGGGGGGGCTTTTCTAGCCGGGGAGTGCATTTATTGGGCCACGTGGAGCTTAAGAATTACGAGCTAATAGTGTAGCTCACCACAGGATACTTTATCATCCGACTCATAACTTTCCATCAAAACCCAAGAATCCTCCGAAGCCGCTTGTTAATGTACTGGACTACTTGGAGGGTCTTGGGGACTTAGTAAGTGGGTTAATACAGGGGACAATTGGGGACAATTGGGGCTATTATATGGCTTCTAGGGGTTATTAGCCTACTTACTAAGTCCCCATGACGCTCCAAGTATTGTAGAAGCCAGTAGCAGTCCTGGGCCGCTTCCTCGGCCGTCCGTCCATGGGCGCCACAAGCTCAGCTGACATTGCTTGAAACTATTTTAGAAGCTTTGTAAGATGGGGGACCCAAGGAACCCGAGGCCCCAGGCGTGCACAGGGATTGTCAAAAGATTGGGATGAGATGGGGTGTGCTTTTATTGACTCCCTGTGTGACAGTTGCCAAATTGCCCATCTGGTGTGCATTTGGGAAGCTTCAAATCTGCCGGAAAGGGAGCGGCTTAGCTTCACTACCATGCGCAGCCTTTCAGCTGCTTCTTGCCCTCACTCACATGCATACTCAACATGGGTGTCTCAGGCCAGTTAATGATTCTACAAGTGGAAACTTCGAGAAACTCCCATATACTGCACGCTGGTGGTGCCCTGATGCGCGTTGCTTGCATTGTCAAGCAGTCTGTGGTTTTGCATGTTTGTGCGTTTCTTGCTCATGTTCGTCTCAGTAGCAAAATTGAGCCAGCTGATTGCAATGCAAACCGCGCGTCCAGTGCAGCCAGGGTTTTGGCCAAGTGCCGGGCAAAAACAGCTCTGAGATTTGGACCAAGCGCTGGCTTTTTGATGCAAAGCGCCAGAGATCCTGAGTGTTTCAGGTAAGCAGTCTGAGGCCAGTGTCAACTTTGATTTATCATCCCTACAAGCAACGATTGTACCCAATCGCCATATAATCGCTGCGTAATCCTCGCATATGTGGTCAGCACATGCTCGGGGACGCTAAAGCTGACGCCTGAGACCCTGAGCCCTGACACATACACCCTGGACATTGAACCTTGAACCTGAGACCCGGAAACCTAAACGCGAAACCCGATCGACCCCATAAATCCAAGAACCCCCATAAACCCTAGAAACCCCCACAAACCCTAGAAACACCATAATAAAGCCCAGAAACCAACCCTAGAAACCCCATAAACCCTATAATCCCAACCACGACGCCCTAAAACCCGGGAAGGCCTGGAGGGTATCCAAGGCGGTCTGGCCCTCCGCTTCGCTGACTAAGCGGTAGATGCCTCTGAGTACCCGTTGGGGTAAGATTAGGGTTATAATGGGGTTACATTAGGGTTATATAGGGGGTTATATAGGGGTTATATAGGGATTCTATAGGGGTAATGTAGGGATTATGTAGGGGTACTATAGGGGCTATAATGGAGAATCAAATGGAAAAGAAAATGGAAAATGAAATGGACGGATAGGGGATATAGGTACCCATTGGGGTAATATTAGGGTTATATTATGGCTGGATGGGGATAATGGTAAAAAAAGGAAACTATACTATTTAGGGTTTAGGGTTCAAAGGTGGGGGTGGGGGCTTGGTGTTTGTGGGTTTAGGTTTTTGGTGTCAGGGCTTTTGGGGTTCATGGGCTTCACAGGGCTTCAGGGTTTTGTGACCACAAGGGATCCTTTTAGGGTCTTTGCACTTCCAATTTTACTGAAATTACTGGGCGTGTGCTTCACCCAACTTCTAGGATTGTTCACTGACGCTTGCGGGAGTGTAATCATCCCTGCATATGTCCCTTCACGAATAATCCCATCCCTACTCCCCTTGAGGACCCCAGGCATAACTTAGGAGGGCCCCCCACCCAGTGGTTTTTTAGGGGGGATAATGGAAAATAAAATGGACACTATAGGGATCATAGGGATTATATGCTTAAGCATCGGCAAGTTTAGGCTTGCAGTTTAGGGCTTGCCAAGCTTGAGAGGGCTTAGGAAAAGGGTTTTGGTGTTAGGTATTCTTACAGTTATAGACTCCTTGTTGGAGATTCTGGGGCCTGTACAACTTATAAGAACTCTAAACTGATGGGCTTGCTTGCCATACTCCACGAAGGGCCCTGACCTTGAAAAACATTCATAGTGTGAAGCGGCTCCTTACTGCACTCGCAGGCACCGATCTTATCTCCAGAAGTTTAGCGTTTATAGGGTTTAGGGTTTAGGGTTTATAGGGCTTATAGGGTTTATAGGGTTCAGGACTTATAGGGTTTAGGGTTTATAGGGTTTTAAAGGGTTTATAGGGCTTAGGGTTTAGGGTTACCCCCCATGTGGCATCCCACAGTCATCTCCTGTCTCAGAGTTACCTCTGAGATGCGGGCGCTCCCGCAACTTGGAGGCCTCTGTCTGAAGGCCTGCAGCTCTGATATTGCACTGAATGTAGCTGTAGTTTCCTTAGACCTATAATAAAAATACTATTTGTAATATTTCCTTAGGGTTATACTATGATGAACAGTAAAAATTGCAGCTCTGATATTGCGCTGAATGTCTGGGTTGGCCCCCAAAACCCTTTGAAAAATGTTTGTATATAGGGTCCCCTATTAAGGCCATGAGGGAAAATAGTAAAAATCCCAGGGGCCTACCCAAATGTAGGGGCCTCTTGAATTGAAATTGGGATTTGAGATATGATTTGAGGTATAACGTGCTACAAGTGTATCAGGGCTATAAGGAGATGGTCCTACTCTTCTTTTCCGGCTTCTACATGAGGGAAATGGTGCTTGTGTGTGGGTTTTGGCGGATCCGGTTTTCTAGTGCCTCTGTATGGGCTCCATGGATGCTGTCCTCAAAAATTGGGTGCCCATGTGTAACCCAAAAGTGATAAGGCCCCCAAGCAGCAGATAAGGTGAGTCAGAGCTTTGTTTTGCGAACAAGCGTCCACAGGCAGTCACATGCGGATGTGTTTTCTCCACATCTGGCGTTTTGGCTTGGAGCACATGCTCGCCGCATGACACTCCCGACAGCTCGAGTCAGCTCGATTCGTTCAGGTAATATTCAGGTTCTATAGGAGTTATATAGGTATACTATAAGGATTCTATAGGGATTAGATTGGGAGAATAGAAACTAAAATGGAAACTACTACTAATTGTTCTGGAAAACCGAGCTCACAGTCGCTGATCTCGGCTTCATCAATAATCTACATCAGGTCTCAACTTTGGAGACTGCTTGGCCTTCCCCGGCGGTGTTCGCACAGGATGGCCTCACTGTGATTGATGGGCCGAGTCCGAGCTCTCAGCGACTCAAGGCGCCTGTCGAATCTAGGCATTCACAAGGTGAGCGCTGCACATGTCTCCAACACTTTTGGTCATTGTTGCAGCTGTTGAACTCAGTAAGGGCACGCACATCCTAGAAACACCTAAGAACAATATGATCTTTCTGGTTGCTCTTCACTATTGGGATCTCAGCGCCACTATCAAGATGAAGCCCAAACCCAAATCCTCAACTGTAAATCCTAAACCCTGCATCTTGCCTGCGTCCGGTGGCCAATCTCTTCGTTGCGACTGCATGTGAACTAGATCTTGCTCCAGCTGCCGTATCCTCAGGCTACTAAGTCTTGCAGAAAGAAGGAGAGCTAAAAGCATGGGCCTCGCAATGAGAATAGCCCCGGCGATGGAAGAACAAAACTGGTCAGAAGCCACAAGGATCGCGACATCATACAATTCTGGTACCACAAGGAAGTCGACTGACTAACAGTTGTGCTAGCCTGATAAAAGCAATGAACATGCCATAATCTTCATACCGGCGCGAGATGTCCCTCAGAAAGCTGAGAACGTGTATGACGTGCCCTGGTCCTTGTCAGCTCCACCTCCGGCAAGGGGCGAAGACTGGGTGCACCCTTGAAGCAGGAGCAGCAGTCAGCCACAGCGGCACTGAACCTGCGGTCGCCCGGGCCCAGACATTGCATTCAAGTAGCAGGCAAGGTAAGCGCGAATCCTTACGCTTACAACAGACAAACCTGCATGACCCCAAAACTTGTCAAAATTATATCGCCCAGCATAGCTGCAAAGCCAGCGAAGGGTATATACATGGAGAAATGCAGCAAGCACACTTCAGCCTAACGGGCTGATGCCCCTTTGCGTCAGGGAGCCGATGGATGATGATCGCCAGCGAGAGCAGTATCAACGCAACCCAAGGAAGGTTTTGCTGAAGGTAATCCTGCCACCGTTGCCACTCGCTGTGCCTTTTCACATCTTGAACCTGGCACGTGCACAGCGCAAGACAGCCTTCTCATCCAATCATGGGATGCTATAGGGCGCAAACGTAGACGACCTGCATGATACGATCGGTCGAGCAGACAGATTATCAGGGATCCGACTCAAAGCTTCACCTCTCGTACCCAAAAAATGCCAAACAGTCCTTACCGAAGTTAGGGCACATCATTCCTTACACAGATCTAAGCTGTACGTTGCTGTGAGCGCCCGTTGCCTCGCTGCATCTAATGTAACATCAGGCAGCGGACATGCATGTGCCAGCTCAGCTGAGACTACCGTCAGCACAAGTAGCACAGGATATTACACATCCTCACCTGCCCAGGTTGCCGCAAACCAGTCATCAAGTAGGACTGAGCAAGCAGGCATCTCCCACCACTAAGCAAAACAAAGCATGCAAAGTGATTGCAAAGGCCTCTCTTCTGGCTTCGTCAACCTGTGACGGGGAGCAGAATGGGAAAGATCGCACTGCATTGTCGACACATGCCAACGTCATGCATGATCTAGTCGCCTGCTGCTGGGGTACAGGCAGTCAAGCACAAAAAGCCACTTTCATCAAGAGGCCTGCTTAATCGCATCGTCTGCCCGCTTGTTAGCATCGTCTGCCAGCTTCTTGGCATCCTCTGCCCGCTTCTTGGCATCGTCTTCCCGCTTCTTGGCATCTTCTAGCCTCTTGTTTGCCTCACAAGTCCAACTTAAAGGCAAGACAGGTCCAGATTTTCGACATCGCAAGGACGACATGAGATGGGCCAGCAAATGTGCTGAAGACTTCAGCACAAAGAGTCGCATTGGGCCGGCCTCCAGCAGGACTTGGTCCTTGAAAGGCCCAATAACCTTACCATCTGCAAATGACTTGTCAATGTTCGCGTGAGGCTACATCCCTGGCTTTCCAAACTAAATGTCGTGAAATCTAGTGCGGGCGCCCAAGTGTGAGTTCTCGTGCTCATCCTGGGCCTGTGCAAGAAAAACCGCCGCCTGTCTGGGAAGGCACCTGTCGGATCCACATCCCGAACCCAGCAAATTTTGAACACTGATGCGGTCTGAGTGGCAAGTGCCCAGGTGCTGGCCTTCATCTTGTCGCAGGACTCCCGCGCCTTTCCATTGGTCTGGAGGTTGAGGCCGTTGAACAAATCTTCCAGCTCCTCTGTAGCAGCTGATATAGCTTCTACCAAGCCTCCAGATTGGCTGGCTGCAACCTCCTTGACTTTGGCCCCCAGTTCATCAATCTTATCTTGAAGTTGCTTCGTGCAGGCATCGATGGCAATCTTTTCCCATAGGTAGACGTTGTTCAAGGGGCCAACTTTGTTCATCTCTTGAACACCCCACTTCAGCAGCTGACGAAACGACTCCGGTGTAATCGCATGTCCGCGACCGTCTGTTCGAACCTGGCTGACATTGTGAATCTTATCTCGCAGGAAATCGACATCATCTAAGAAGGCTGCACCTGCCTTGTATAATGGAGAGCTAGGCTCCTCATTCATGTCAACCAGATTTCGCACTTGCTCTTGCAGATCTGCCGGCGTCTTGGCAGTGTCCATAAGTTGTTGAAATCTCTTGAACATGGGCAGCTCGTAGAGAGTCAAGTAATCAAAATGCAGACCTTGCCCTTCTTTGCGGGAAAGCTCTACATAATTCTCGCTGATTGTCTGGATGACTTCAGGTTGTGAGGCCAAGGCCTGCTTCGTAATCTCCAAAGCTTTCTCCTCCTGCTCCCCGCGCTTGAGATGGAGAGGCATCACATGCGCTATCAGCAGGGCCGGGAAGTTGTCAGCGGGACCTGCATCTCCCTTTGCTGCCACAGGCCTCTGGAGCAGGGTGCTCCGCACTTGCGAGACGAAGGTGGCAATGTATTCCAGGTCAGAGGCTTGAATGGTCGGGGTGCGTCGCACCTGGATGAATACAGAGGTAACTTCCGAAAGGAGAGCCAGAAGCTTTAGAACCGCCTGCAAGGGACGGTCGGTTTGAGCATCTCTGTTGCAGGCTGAGGATTTTGCGGTTTGACCATGCTGGACTAATATGGTCATTTCCAAAGCTTAAGACATAAAAACCTTTTTCTGGCGACTCCTAGCAAGGCAACCCTAGTTTCAGGCAACCTTCTGAGTACGTGCAGCAGGCGCAAGAAAGAGCAGTTTCCAGTTTCTTTTCCATTATCCTTCTATAATCCTTTTATAGTCCCCTATATGAACCCCTACATATCCCTTTAAGGGGACCTAGGGTTTCCATTTTCTTTTCCATTAGCCTCAGCAACTTTCTGGTCTTGTTCGCTGTTGTCGAAGCCTTCGATGTCCAGAATGATGAAGCGATTTCCATCTGCATCGACCACTGGAGATCCCCAGAGACCACGTGTTGGTTCGTGCTGGGGACCAATCCTGAGTCATGAGCTTCAGGATTTAGGATGCAAGATCTAATCTTGGTAGTGCTCTGAGCCAGAAACAATGTTACGGAAAGCGTGGGGTTGTTAATGGTGGTCATAACTAAGTAACTATAAGTGTGGAGACACTTTTATGGTTGTCGGAGTAGGAAAGTTTCTGAGAAATAGAAGAGGCTTTGAGAAAGGACGCTTTCGAAGGAGAGCCTTCATAACACCCTGATGAAAGCCATGTTCCAAACCGCTTTCCGAGCACTGGAGAAAAAGCACGAGCAAAGCTAGCCTCTAAGAACGTCTTCACTGATGGGGCCGTAACAAACAACAGGCATGTTCTTTCCATACGTGCATTCCCAAACGTGTAAAAGTCAGGCCAACACTGACCTAGGATCGTGGAGCTAGGGAAATCTGTCGGAACTCCCATGGAGCATGAAAGAAATCTGCACGCTGTTGACTTGCCACCAGACGTGATCCCAAACAGGGCCACGACATGTAAAGGCAGCTTGGATACAGGACCCTCGTAAAGATGGTTGTCGATGAACTCAATTTGCCCATCGTCTCTGCGGACGCGAAACATCTCGACAGCCTGCCAGAAACTGCGTGCAGTGCGTGCGGAGCAAGCAACAACTGGCATGACCGGCTTTATTGGGAAATGTCAGGCTAACATACCTGTGCAAACCTTTGAGCCTTCCTCTTCTGACTGCAGCTAGCGACTCTTACGTAGAACAGTAGTACTTGTCCATGTGCCGAAACCTTACTGACGCTATGGAAGGCACTAAACCAACAAAGAGTTGTCCAGCAATAACACGCACAGCAGGACATTCAGTTCAGCTTTGTGGACTGTAATGGACATGAAGAAGCCACTCCACGTGACATAGCCCAGCCCGACCCCCCTGTATCAGCCGCCAGCCGCTGTAAAGCATGGGTTGGGTTGACACAAGGCCATGCGACACTATGCAACATTATGTGTTCATGTGGGCAGATTGGTCACAATGTGGCGCTTGCAAGAAGCATCTCTTCAACCTGTCTCGGGACCATATGAGACCACGTGAGGAGAATTCATCAGCCAACACATACCCTTTGCATAAATCGAATCTGGTGAGGACTCTTCCGTCATCCAGTCCTCGTTCCACGCGGACATATCATTTGCATGCACCGCGCAGGCAAGCCATAGAAGCAACCACTTGGCAACCATGGCTTGGGCACGGGCACGGCCCGAAGGGATGGCTTAGGGACTTGACTTTCCAAAGGATTCTCCAAATCATGGGGGGGCGATTGCCATAGTAAGCACCTTACTATTTTGGACGCAAGAAGGGGGGACTCCTGGTTTGAGAGATTCCTAGTTCAGTTTAGCAGCCGGTGATCCCCACAGCCAATGTCATGTTTTAAAGACTCGTTGAGTTTCCAGTGTAGCTATGCTGCTTGCGGTTTTGAATGGCATTTGTGAAAGGCTCTGTCATGCACAGAGCCTGCTGGCAAGCACCCAGCTGGTAGCACTTGCTGCAACCATTTGGAAACTCCAAGCTCGTCAGCAGGAAGCAAGGGGCCTAGGAGTCCCTTTCCACATTCCTTGGAAATGTAGCCTCGGACTGTTCTGGCAGCGAAACTCATTGCAGCAGCATGCGGAAACATTGCACATGCTTTGATCAGGCACCCTTGCCCTTTGTGCGCGGTTCACAGGTGGCAGGCAGAGGCTGAGCTTCAGACTGACAAAGGGATGAAGACGCCTTCCTCCAGCTGGCCGAGGATCTTTGGCGCGCATGCGCTGGTAGCAACGGAACTCGTACAGCACCTGACATGTTGCCAGCAGTGCGACTCTGCCACTTCAACATTGCTAGCAGCATTCCCACCGGGCAGGCCCCCAAAACCTGTAAACTATCACTGTCCGGAAGCTTGTTGCTCTTGCAATGGTCGGGTTAATGTGGAACAGCACCGAAACGATGGGCAATGCAAGTGGGAAAGGTGTATGAACACCAACGTCAGATCAATGATTGTTCGCTCGCCTCGGTGCAGTCCTTCCCGCAAAGATCACATCGGAGGTCAATGTCTTGGGCTTCTTTGCCATCAACCGGCATCATTTCATCGGCATTCCTTGCTGGGCTGCAGCTCCAAGAACTCCACAAACAAAAGAAATTCCTATCTGCTCCCTGGCCCCTTCACCCAACCCTAAATCTCAACCCCCCAACCCTTTAAATCTAACCGCTCAACCGAACCCTAAACCTGCAGCAGGGGTCCAGGTGTACTTCTTCTGTCTTTGGGCTGGCTCGGGTTCCTTTCCGTCGTCGCCTCGACAGGTCGGATGTTTCAGAGAACTTTGGAGCCCTCTATGTATGTATGGACCAGTCCAGAAACACCAATCTGAAGTAATGTTCATGGGCGGAGCTTGAAGTCTAAATACTAAAGGTTGATCGAATGGACCAGCTCATGGTAGGACTGCGGCACGGCAGCGCAAGTTCATATTCTTTGCATTCCGTCGCCTTTGCTGCCAGCTGCTGGTGTTCTGGCCAAAGCAACCCAGACGTAGAGGGAGCGCTGGTCCTGCCGTCTGAACTTCGACACAAGCTTGGGAGGGCGCAGGACGATACCCGTGCTGATGATGAGGCACTTTGAAGTTACGACAAAGTTACGTAGTGTTTGCCAGTAAGCCGATGGCGCGAGAAGCGACAACAAGCAGGGCCAGACTCGCAAATCGTAGTGACAAGTCACCAGTCATAGAGGCTCTTATATAACCCCAATATTACCCCAATATAGCCCCAACATATACCCTATAATGGAACCTCAATATTTGGTGGAAGTGGCCGTCCTTTGCTACGGGTACATCAACGCCTTCCGAGATCAACTGCTGGACATCACGGCTCTGTCGCGCCACCGCAGAACCAGCCTGACAATATACATTTAACAGTTACTACATTGGGGAAAGCATTTTAAGTACTCTATATATATATACACCCATTATGGAGATTCTTATCATGCCTTGGGGGATATATTGGGGCTATTAATAGGGATAATGGAAAAGAAAATGCAAACTACTATATTATAATAGGGT